GACTGTTTCACGAGGAGGGAGTGCAGGAACCTGCTCAGCAGTTTTTGAGAGGAGTAGATGTGCAGATCTGTCCTCCTCACCATTCTGCAATGTCAGTTTCCTTCTGCTTCTTCTTCGGCTTGATCTCACTCAGACAGGAGCCCTCTGTTAACTTGATCTTACTGGAGACGACAAGCTTGACTAAATACAAACACTCATGTAAACAAAGTCTTAAATTAAATCTCTATAAAATAACACCTCCAAGTACAAACCCCATTTTTACTAGCTTGTTGACTAAGTGATAAAAAAAAACCAAGTTAGATTAATAACTTAAGCTAATATTTCTCATTTCTATTAAATCGTTAATTTAATAGATATGATAAGATAAACCTTAGGGTATTTTCAGTAAACGCTGCTGCAGTTTCCAGATAAACCCCCCCCTCTGAAACAAGCTGTACAGAAAAAACCCACGTAATTCAAGAGGGAGCACAGAAACTTGAGAAGTGATCAAGGCATAAATAAAAACATGAAATGGAAATGAGCATCCAAAACAGCAAAATATATTTAAGCAATATCACAAAGACACAAAAGAAGAATCTATTTACAGATCTAAAATCAGTATGTCCAGTAAAAATCCTCCCACAGAAAGGTATTTATAAACAGTTACATTGTCTACTGCTGGCAACAGAGATGCTTTACAGCTACCACAGTGGTAATTAGTCCTTTGCAAAATAAAGGGAAAACTTAATAAAGGTGAAGAAACTATTTCTGGGAAAAACTTGAACTGAAGGCTGGACAACAACAATCACAAGGCATACAAAGCATAGGAACTGCGAATACGTAACTCTGGTAGTGCAAAAATGAGGAGAATGGCTTTTTTCCTCAATACTTGTTCAGAGAAAAAATACTGCTGTGAATTTGCAATTTGAATTCCTTTTATAGACTTAAATTTGTAAGACGTAGTGCATTTGCATGTTTCAGCAAGGCTGATGCTATACAGGAGGTAAATGAAACAAAGTCAACATAAAATTACTACCATGATATAAATTTGTAACAAACTTTGTATCAAAATGTCTGAACATACAGTACAGAGACAAGCCTCCCCCCAAAAAGTTTAGATTTTCTCCATCCAGACAATTTGTAAGCACAATACCGCTGAAGAATAACAACTTGTACGTAAGCGATAGTGTATGCAACATTCTTTGGAATTAAGATTTAAATTTCTCGTTCGGGCGTTGCCCCTGTATTTCACAGGGGGAACAGCAGAGGGGTAACTCCTCAGTCCTCCCTGGGATTTGGAGCTCCTGGTGTGTTGTCCCTCAGGTGCACACCCAGGGCCGGGCAGAGACCCGCGGAGGTGCAGAGCACCAGAAGCTGAGGAAAAACTCCCCCTGGGAACGTGGGTCACGGTAGGACGCCTTGGTGTTAGCCAGTGCAGAAGTGGAGAATTAATGCTGCTGAATTCCTGAGGCTCAACATCCCACAGCCCTGGTTTTACTGTTTTGAAACACACAAGACGGTTTCTTTGTCCAAAAAGGCTGTGAACATTTCTTATAGTTTAAATCAGCATTGTCACCACGCCTTTGCTGCTGAAACAACAAAATCAAAAGTAGGAATACCTTATCTCATGTTAAAACTACTTAAAATTCAGAAAACTAGAGCTCCTTAATTGAGAAAACCAAAACTAATCTGCAAACACATGACTAGTTTTGCAAATAACCTTTTTTGCTATATTTTTAGCTGACATTTTATTTAACTTTCAGCAAACTGCTAAAGATCACCCAGTCTATCCTAGAGGAAATCTGACAGTTTGGCAAGTAAGCTGGGAAGCGGCAAACAATCAGGACCAACTGTTGCGTTTGTTCTGCCCCAAGGTAGGCCCATCACGGCACTGCAGAGCCCATGCTGCTCACAGTCCCACGACAGGTCAGGGTCCCACATGTTTCCTGTTCCCCTTGCTGTACAGAAAGATGCAGATGATGTCCACAAAAAGGTAACAGTAGCAGCTACAGAGTAAGATTTACCCATTATAATTAGCAGGAAGTGTTGAGGTTGATACTAAAAGCTTTTCCAAAATAGAAAGGACGGGCTTCTTGAGTTTCAAATGTTCATAGGGTGACTATCAGGTATAACAGTGTTGCTTTACGGGGACTTTGTTAAAAATTTCCAGTGCTCCAGTGGGAACAGTTTATGATGCAATCAGATGAACTTTTACTGAAATGGCAGTCAAATTAATGATTTTACAAACCAAATGATTGCATCTTTTTTCTCTATACTCAAGGGCTGTTGACCAGAAGTGGCTGAAATGACTTCTGCAGAGGAGGTAGCGCTGCTTTTCTGCAACCTGACGGATGCTCATTCAGCCTAACTTCAAGTACCCAATTTATGTGCTTGAACGAGGAGCTTATGTACCCAGCTGAGGCTCCAGAGGATGACCTAGAACAGAAGTGCTCTAAGGTTATTCAACAGACATAAGGGATTTGTCTGCTTGATCTTTGGCATATGAAAGCAAAACCAAAACAGATCTAATAGGCACTATCACAGGAAAATTCATCCTAAAATGGAGATCAAATGAGTCTTCCTCTAGAAATATTTATTTCTCTTCGTTAATGAGCAGTGGAACACTTCAGGTCACTAGCATGGATTGAGATGTCTTGCTTTCAGACATCTGAATTTAAAAGAAATGACTTCCACCTCAGGCTCCCATGTTAGGAACTTCAGTTGGATACCTGAAGGTAGATGGTCTGTACTTACTCAGAACAGACACCTCTCGAATCCATGGCAGAGCTGCAATCCCAGCATCTACTTAGAGAAGACCCAATGGAACTGAATATTGGTAGGGTATCTCATCTTATCTCTCATTTCTGTATTCCCTTTTCACTTTATGGAAGGGGATGGAGAAAAGAAAGCAGCGCGTGGGGTGCTGTCCTGCTAAACAAAGTTGTGCTTTCTGTATTCCCTTTTCACTTTATGGAAGGGAATGGAGAAAAAAAGCAGCGCATGGGGTGCTGTCCTGCTAAACAAAGTTGTGTAATACCCACTAATGAAGAAACTTAGTGGCTGTCACTTGTAAATCCCACAAAAATCATCATTTTGAAGGTGGTGGGGGCAAATTACTCTGCTATTGAAGATCTCATAAATCAATCACACATTTTATTTTCAGGAGTTACTAACAGGTATCAGTCAGTGTTAGTAGATTCTCTAACTTAGCTGGCTAAAAAGTTCAAATGGAATTAGAAAACCCCCCGATGGCAAAGACTTAAGGAACTCCTAAATTATTTTCATGTATTTAAATTAAAAAAAAAAAAGTTATATTTTAGACAAATGTCAGCTAATGCCTAACATTTTTATTCAAATACTGATGGAAATAGGAAAAAAGTAAACTGGTCCAGTGGATTGCACACAGTATGGAAAAACCCCACCACAAATTGTACTGTCTTAGCTGCTTAGTTTCCTTATTTTCTGTACTTGAGAAAATGAGATCAGAAAGCTATGCAGCTTCCCTGACTGAGGAGGAAAGGCCAGGGCAGGATTTCTACAGTCCCATCCAGCTCTGTAAATGAAAGGATTAAGATTAGGACCTTGTGGCTGGGAGAACAGTGTTGAGGAATACTCAGGATTCACTCCTGTCCTAAAGGAATAATCTATTCTTTCTGACAAACAAACAAACTCAGCAGTCCAATCCTATACTCAGCATTTTACAGAATCAAGGTCTTAGGCACAGCAAAGACTTCAGAAAAGCATGGAAGCAAGGCAACACTTGTATTTGGATTTTTCCTCTATGGGTTATTTTCTCTGTTAAATTCCTTGGGGTTTTGGTTTTGTTTTTTTTTTTTTTTTCTTCAGGGTAGCTTTTCAAAATACAACCTAGTAAGAGCCTGGAAAAGACAGAACCACCTGAACAGGTGAGGGAAAAACTCTCAGTGCACTTTTTATTCCATATATGAATTAACTACTGGGAATATTTACGGAAAAAAAAAAAAAAAAGATCACAGCAAGATACTGAATTTTGAAAATAACACTGTAAGTTTTTTAAACTGCACTTCAGAAAACATTGTCCAAGCAGCATCAGACCATTAGAGGGTTGTCTGATTTCCTTTTTTCTGTGGAAAATTTCCACTGAGGGCAGCAGAGAGCAGCGGCAGGAGCTGAAGATGCAAATAAAACTAAAGATTCTTGGTAGTTACTCACCTACAATGGCTATTCATTCTTCTCATTTATTTTTTTGGCTCAGTGCTGTTATGTAATACCCTTGACCCCACCATATAATTTCAAGGACATAGAAATTGATTTGAGTATTAGCTTGGTTCCTTTCCTGTATTTGAACCTTACAGTGGATATAAATGACAAATAAGCATGCTGTAACATTCACGGGAGCTGTTGTTCATCAAACTGGTGACTCTGAACAAAGGCTGCTTTAAGTAACGCCCATGAACACGCGCGCTGTGTCCAAAACACACGGTCATATTAAATAAGTCTCTTACATATGTACATACAGACCAGTAACAAAACTCAGTATCACAGTCCCACCCTCCTCTGTTTAAGACTGCAGTTTCTAACTGTTGCATATACTGCGGTTGCTCAAAGAGCTGAATAAAGTGAGTGTAGCAGACTTTTTCAGAGAAAAAGAGTCATATAAAAAGTTGTAAGTATGGTACAGTGAGAAAGTTCCCAGAGCTCTCACTTCATTTTCTCTTTGGTTGCTAATTAGGATTTGACCAGTTTGAAACCCTGTCCTGTGTCCAGCACTGTGGGAAGAAACCAACTCATTTTCAGTCTTTTCAAGCACCTAAAGCATGCTTTACAGACCCAGAACAGATTGAGACCACAAAACCAGTTTGCCAAATGTACTAATGGATAGGTGATGCGTGGGAAGTATATCATCCAGTGCTTGGCAACATCGCTTCCCGTTGGCAAATGCAAAGTGTAGTCGCTCCAGTGTTTCGACACGCCATACGCCGCTTTCACCGTACGTCCCTTTTCGGACCAGCTGATGTTGCTGTCGGGGTTACAGTTGTACTCAACCCATTGCCTGGTGAAGTCACCAAGCTGCGGAGGGTCTGCTTCCTCAATGTCTACAACTCTGGCCATTTGTGCTCCTTGCACGGCAACATACTGGTCATTTACTTTCCTCACTTCTTTAACCCAAGGCTGAGAGTTCTCGCAGTCTAAAACGATGATGAGACGAGAACAAAAGGTGCCGTTCTTTTCTCTCCACCACTCCAACAGTGTGTCAAGTCGTAAAGCATCACCCCCTGCAACAAGGAAAAAAAAGATTTAACATTAGGACGAAGAAACAGAAAACTCTGCAGAATTTTGACTGCGGCTTCCACAAATCCCTTGTTTTAACAGCCTGGACAGATATAACAGAAATTTTCAGCTGATCCTCCCTGTCTGTGGATGCTGCAGATCTCCAGAGAGGTATTAACTGATTCCACCTGACTGGCTGTTGGAGATGAGGCCATTAACCCACCCTTAATTTAAAAAAAAAAAAAAAAAGTCATTCCCTCAAAGAGTGAAAGAAATTATAGCCTATTGAAGAAATCTGCAAATAGCTAAACAAGGAAAGAAAACCTGAAATAGAGGGGGTTTTGCATTAAATCTTAATACTTTTAAGTGAAAATAAAAGGACTCTTTAATATGTTCTTATTAATATTAAAAAGGACTCCTCAGGAAAAGAGAGGACTTTTGAACACAACCCATGCTAACAGTTTTGAAGCACAAGAAAGCCACCTATGGGCACAACCATCACGTTGGCTTGAAAAATTCATGTGACCAGAAATGGAGAGATTCACTCTATAGACAAAGTTGTCTTCACAGCATCAAGAAAATGAAAATTGGTATGGATTTACAACTCAATGAAACAAAAATCTCATAGGAATTTTTCCACAATATTTATTTCCTATCAGCTCAGAAAACACTTGCAACTAGAGTGTCCAACTTCTCATGTTCCATCTCAGCTCTTGCTCCAACAAAGCTCTGAAAGAGACGACTGTAATTAAACCAACTTACCTATAGTGGCGAGTCCTTCTGCTTAAGCGTAATGAATACTGCAGGATCTATGTAGCTTTCAAAAGCAGACTACTTACTCAAGTGCCTAAGGAAAACGTCTTGCAAAGCAGTGAATAAATCTCCATTGGCTCCATAGTGACTATTAATGTGAAGAACTGGTATGTCTAGGTGTTGGCAGGATGGAGCTATGATACAGATTTACAACAACACTCTAGTTTCAAAATGTCAACTTCAAAAAAAAAAAAAGAAGACTTTTAGAAGAAAGGTAGAAAAATGTGATTTAAAATAACTGTGTTTTAATTCCATACTGATTTTCATTGTGGAATATATGTACACTTCGCAGTGTTTAAAATCTTGTTAGTAGGAATTTAACTGCACAGATGAATCTCAAACAGAATAGCTGCATGTTCCAGCACTTACATTTCTACCTGTGAGGGGTGACAAAAAAGTGCTTCAAATTAATAGCTCAGAGTTAAAGCTTTGAGCATGCTATTGCAGTTAAAGTAAAAGCAAAATTACAGCGCTACAGTCGTCTTCTTCAAAAAAATGCAAACTTGGAAAATTTAGTACCCAAGAAAATCTTAATATACAAACCTACAGTAATGACTTGACTTGGTGCATGATCCCCAAACTGCTGTAGTTATTTACAGCAGAGACTTATATAGAAGCAGTTTCTCTTTTCTAGGTAAGCCTTCTGTGTCAATTAGCATTAAAAATTTATTTGTTCACGTTTTAAAGGCTTATAAATAAACTGTATTTTAGTGTAACTATGCAGAGGTGCAGGTGATTTCAAAGCAGTACTGGATAGAATTGCCCTAAGAAAATGATCTCATCCTTCACACACACACACAAACACATGCTCAGCTTCTAATCCAGCTGACCTCAAACACATGGACTTATCAGCCAGCGCAAGATTTAGGAACCAAGCTGTTCAAGAAATCCATGCGTCTGGCCACATCTGGTTCTTTGGCAGGTTTCACAGGCAGTTACGCTGACAGCTTCAGCAACAGAGACAAAGCTTCACTAGCCCAGCTCTTGCCTTTGCCTTCACTCAGAGAACATAACCTCCCAGGTCGTTTGATTGCTCATACTTTATGCATGACTAGTTAACAGTTTCTTTTATACACCACTGTGTTACATCTCAGCTTCCAACAACAGAGAAACATCATTAGTGAACAAATAAATGCAGTAAACCTCCTTTAAAAGATGTCATCACAAAGCAAAGACTAAACTGCTACTGCTGTGCCATGTCACAGCATGAGCCGGCAGCGAGACACTGCTTTTTCTACTAGATCTGCAGGTGGTATCTCATTGTTGCCATCTCTCTTCATCCTCTCCAGAGGTCAGAAGACGGTACACATTACTGGAGGTGATGAACAAATGTTCCATCTGTCATGAACCGCCACTGTCCAATACATGTGGTACAACTACACAAACAGCTTTCATCTTTTCAGTTTATACTTTGAGTTACACTCAGGAGCAGTGCTATCTGGAAGGAGTATCAGCTTACGCTCCATGATTTATCTAAAATTAATCACCAAACAGAATGCAAGACGTGACAGCTGCCTGTTCTCCTTTATGTGACTATACATACCTCCAAGTAGAAGCTGAAGATGTGCTTGGATACAGAACTGAAGAGGAGCTTTGTGAGAAAGCTGAACACCATTGCATTTACCCACTGTATCTTTCAGCACAGAAACTTTCTTTTATTTTAACAGTTACCTTGACCCTTACCCTAAAAGTGAAGACGGACTTTAATATTGACTACAGCTACCTGAACAGGTATACAGAGAGCTGAGCTCCCCTGTCACACTCCAGTCTGGCCTGATGTAAGCCAAGGACTGCACTGGAAGCTGTCCATTTTTGCAGCACCATTTGGCTCTACATATGGTAGAAAGCTAACCGTGTCCGTGCTGCTGGCTGGCTGGAGCAGGGCTGGGAGGGGGAGTTTCACTGCTAGCCTGCTCCACACAACGTGTGGACACACGCAACTGCACGAGGCGGCAGCTGCTCTTATGGACAACCGACCCCATTCTCAAAGCCCTTCAGCCGCCCTGGCACACGCTGCGGTGCAGCGCTCGCGCTGAGCTGAGTACGGCTGCGGCTTTTTACCTCACTGATACACACAAACCCTTTGAGAAAAACTACGCATTGCTCTTCAGCAGGTGTAGCAGTTCAGGCATGGAGTTCCTCCAAAACGGGTATACAGCCTCCAGATGAAACCTGACCTGCACCTAAACACCCCAGCCATGACCACATGCAAAGCTCCAATCTAGACTGTCTACACTGTTCAAGAGCACATGCCCCTGGAGAGAGACTGCTGACAAACAGGCAGACTGCTATCCAAGAGAATTATTTCTGTCCCAGGAAGAAAAAAAACTTGCAAATTTTCAATGTATTTACCACAAGATTCATTTTTTGCACACAGCAAAGCCCTCAGAAGCCCAGTTCTACACAGCAGGAGAGCAAAGCTAAACCTACCAATGATTCGAAAACTTCAGCAGGTTTTCCAAAGAACACTGTTGAGACAGGACTGACCACTATAAAGAGAGCAACAACAGGCCAAGAAGAAGGGAAATGGTGAAGTCTATGCCAAGCATATGATGAGGCATTAAAAAGGCCCTTTATATAGGGGTTTGTAGTCTTGAGGCTACATTGCGCCCACAGCAACTCCCGAAGTCTAGGATGCCAGCAAACCATAGCTGTTTTCACGATACAAAGTTTGCTCTATGTTTGAAGACCTGCTTTTCTAGGGTGGATTGTACATCTGCCTCCTATTTCTTGAGAAAATCAGAACATCTTGATGATACAAATGCAGTCCTTCACAATAGCCTTAACTGACACAGCAACACAGAATACTGTATAATTCAATCTGCCATGTCCAGGGCATGAGAATAGATTACGCTTGTTCATGACAAATATTCCTCAAAATAAAGGAGAAATCTGTCTTTAGAGCAGGAGGGAGTAATTTTCACTTTACTTTTCTGGAAAAAAATCCATGATCTTTGAAGATAACTCGTTGAATTGTACGGGGAATATGAAATCACGTTTAAATTTGTAAGCATACATTTGGAGTCAACAATATTTAGACAATTTCGAGAACAAGTGTAAGATTCGTTAGCTGCAAAAGGATTTTTATTGACTAAACACTAAAATGACATAGAAGTACCTGACCATCAAACAGAGCAAGTTTTTTTCTTCTTTACATCAAGTTACTTGCACTCAAAAGGGACTTCTGCATTTCTCCTTTCTCTCCACTAGCAGAGGTAGTCAGCCTGCAACCTTGACTATTTTGATGACTCCTTGTAGCCTCTGAATCTCTTAACAGCCATGCTCTGTATATTACCCTTTCCTTTCTTCCTTCCCTGCCAGGAGCTTGTATAAACCTGTTCTCCAAAGTCTGGTGGTTCTTTGCCATTCTGGGCTATCAGATAATAAATGTGAGCAAAACTTCAAAATTTTGCAATATGGGATGATTTTTTAAAGAATGAATTAATTGATTTAGAAAGTTCACCAACACCAAAAGTATTAACGAAAAAAAAATCCCCAAAGCAGTTACCTGCCAGTGCCCATTCACCAGTGCCATGTGAGTGACCACTGTAATATAAAATGTAGGTATCGTGTCTGGGTCCATCCGCTGTCCGAAGTTCAAGGAAAGACTTGATCTTGGAGTGAAGGGTATCAAAGGTCAGTCCGCTTGTAGAGTAGTCACAACCGTATGTCTCAATCATGTGATATGCAAAAAATCTTTGGATGGCATTAAGCATGCCAGTAGACCTCAGGTTCAACTCTTGCACATGCTCAGGTGGAAGCAGAGTTGGTTGGCCATCAGGACTAAGGAGAAGAAAAACAACTACGATTATGATTTATCATTATTTCATGCTTAGTGGACTTCTAGCAATTGGTGATTTTTCCCCTGTGCATATTTTCTCCATTATGAAGTAGCACTGCTCTAAATTCAAATTGACTTGAAATGTAGAGTTTATAAACAATTCAAAATACTGTGTTTGAGTGAGGGACCACTATCTCCTCCTCCCTTCTGTCACACTTCAAAGCATAGTCCTTACTCATGGGAATATTCATGCTATTCCTGCAGCTGAGAGACAACAGGGAAAGACAGGAGCTGTGACATGAACACGCTAGGTAGGCTTCAACAATTTCCTCAAGTCCCACTGAGAAAGCACTGCCTTCAGACAGGCTCTTTTTCACACACAACTGGAAAGAAGCGCAGGGAGAATGTGTGCTAATCTGCACAAAACATCATGCAAACTAGTTTCTTAGTAGAATCGGACTAAAGAGAAATCCAAGAACACATTTTGCTCAGCTATTTTGAATTAACTTCTCTCTGTTCCAAACTAGCCTTTATTCAGTATGGCTCTCCCACCAATACAGTAACTCTTACCTGTGTGTGCTGTTCAGATGCTGATCTTTCAGCGTAAGAAATGCATTTCAGATAACAGCATTCACAGCTTAGAAAATGGAAGTTCTAAGAAAATTACAAACCAGACCTGGAACAAACCATGTATGTAGAGGTGTGTGTGTCTGTGTATATGAATATGCATATATGATAAAAGAGTCCTTGCATTCCAAAATGCATTTTATTTGTATTTTTATATATATTCAATATAAAATATAGAATAATTAACATGTATTTAAAAATATACACATATATATAATAATGCACACTTTTTTTTAAAAAAAAGTTTTCATAGCTATTCATTAATCATGACAATAAGATATTTGGTCTTGCAAGACACCCAGTTATAGGAGTGCTCTTCAAGAAGTATTTTTAGAAAAAGGAATGCATTCATCACTCTTCAGCCAATGTAATAATGGTAATGATAAGGAACACGACTGACAGCTGTAGCAAACTGGCCTGATTTATGCTCAGTTACAGACATGGAGAGGTTTTGTGGGTGAAAATATGGAGATGGTTTTACTCTACTAACACAAAACATGACTTCTGTTTTTTATACATATGCACGTATGTATGTATTCTTCAGGTATTTTGTTTGCAAGTCAGTGTGTAAAGCCACCTGGTTTCTTTACTGGTCAAGTTAATAAGGAAGTTTAGTTCTGTCAGGTCCTAAACAGTTGCTCAAGAGTATCTCATTCACTCAAAAATTAGAGGGAACTGCCAGAGCCAGAATAATATAATACAATGAAAGAATTAAATGGTTGCCATAGAAACAAAAATAATTAATTTATATTGTAATGTAGATTTTGAAAATTTGTCTTTTTAAATCCTAACAATAATTGACTACGTGCATTTTTTTAAGAGTGCACAGCTGCAGACTGTAGATCAGAAGCTCAGAAAATGCTACATTATTTTACACTATTTAAGATACTGTGATCTAAGATCAGCATGCTACCTTCTGCTTCTTTGCCTGTTATTTTTTTTCCCTATCCACTGAATCCATTACACATACTCAAGATGGGCAGTTTTCATAAATTGGGCAGTTCTAGTTTTAAATCTCTCATTTTAACTTACTACTCTGTTTCTCTTGAAACTCAAATAGACAACTTACAGAGTTCTTCTTTATCATTTACAAAAAAAAGGCATACACACAAATTTGATTAAATGGCTAAAGTAGCATTAGCAAGTTTAAAGCTTGTAAGAAAAACACACAAATGGACAAACAATAATAGAACAGCCCCTCCAGCCCCAAGCATTTCTCACATGGTAACATTTATATTGGAACAAAAATCAGCTGTAAATTCACAACACAAATAACCAGCATGTAGTGCACTCACAAGTCTAATTTCAGTGTCCTTTAAATGTAGACACCATCTTACTTCACAGAATTCAAAATTGTTTTGAACTGATCTGTCTGGCTTACGAAATCTCCTCATATAAAATAATCTGCACTCAGTCAAATGCCCCAATCCTCCTTTGCTTGATTTATGGAATCTGCCTATGCATGACTACTGCGTAAAACATTCACGGACTTTCTAAAAGCAAATTAAACACATATAAAAAGGCGGAGTTGGATTTACTCATTATTTTCGGAAGGTGAGGAAAAGGAAAAATACAAAATCTGCCTATTGTTTAAATTTTTATTCAGTTATTGAAAAATAGAAGCAACAGCTGTGCATTGCCTCTGTGAGCTAACAGTACACTTACACTTCTGTGAAACTGAAATACATGGTAACTATACCTGCAGAAGTTGGTAGGAATCACAACAGCATATCCAACACATGTTCCTCCCAGGCAGTTTCCCAGCTCATGGAAAAGGCCATGAGCCATGGACTCCAGAGGTAAAACAATGAGAAATGCACTCATGAAGATCCCATTGGTTGGCTAAAAAGAAAAGAGAGAGACTTAGGTATTGCATGAGACAGCCTTCCTGTCTGTTGGTTACAGTTTCATGAGTAAGTCCCTGTGTTTGATCACACATAATTGGGTCCTGAAACATGCAAGTTATTGTACATAACGTATTCTTATTTTTCCACATATTACAGAGTGAAGCACTCTAAAGGCAAATGAAAGGCTTGGGGAGAAAGTGGCTGGTAAGCAGGGATCACTCTTCTGAAACGAATCTATTTGAAAACATTAACAGCACAGGACTTAGTTTTAAAACCCCTGATCATAGCCTAGCTTTACCCATTTAAAAAGGAAAAGCAAATTCCACAAAATTATTTATGTGCATAAAATTAGTGTATCTGTAAATATCTGCAGGATCAGGCCTTAATCAGTAAAGTGCAACATAGAATATTATGTACCTAGCATCAGATGATAGCATACTGTATGGCACCATTAAAAATATACATTTAACTATTCTTGGTTTTTTAAATATTCTTTGTGGAATACTATGCATCACACAAAAGATGACTTACAAGAATATTTATGAACATTACTGCAATTAAAAAGACAGTTCTTTATCAGCTACATAAATATCAGATGAGAAGTGAGATCCACTACAGGACTTTGTAGCATTCACACAGCAAATACCCTACATTGAGCATTCCTGTTTTGTAGGTAAAAAGCAGTTTTGGAAAAGATTACACTCACTGATACATAGATGATTTCTGTAAAAAACACAGAAGTTCAAAAGTCAAGTCTCAACCGCTAGTGCTAGTAAAATAAAAATGCACTTCTGAAATGCCAGCTGCTAGTGAGAAGCAGAACAGATACAGATTTGTTTTAATTATTTTAATATGATGTGAATGGGTTTAATGAGGCATTAAATGCTTTAGAAAAGGTAGAAACAGTATTATAATATATAATTAATGAAGAACTTTAATACCCATGGTGCAGTTATTAAATATTAATGTTTGTTATGTAGCAAAGGAAATAAATTCACAGCTACAGATTTCTGTCTTGAGAAGAGTCCTGTGGCCTCTGACCACATCTATGTTCTATTTGCTCTATTTGCATAAATCTACAATATTATTTTTTTAAAAAAATCAGGATATTGCCTTATTAAGACTCAGTGATTTGATGTAGTCTGGTAGTTCAGCTTAACACATAAGACAAAGTTATTAATAATTTGGAAAGTAAATTATACTGAAAAAAATAACACCTAAACCAACTCAATTCTTGTCGGCACATGGCACTAACCGCACTATATTCAGTTTTTGAACACATAAGTATTATATGACTTAGCCTGAAAGAACAGCTTTACACCCATCTAATGTGCTTCCTGCCTTAAGGAAGAATACTGTTTGCTACCTGTCTCCGTTTTAGTGTCCCATTACACGTCTGCTTGTAAGGATCTCACCTATGTGTCCTTGAAATGGTGACAGCCACACTTCTAACTACAAACACCAGAATCTCATATTAACTGATAACTAACTGATAGCGTTATTAATTGATAGCACTACTCTCAAATTCCAACACCTGAAATCACTGTAAAACTCTATCCAGCTCCTACTATGCTTTATACAATCTTAGCCATCTCAGGAGATACCTTGGATCCTTCTAGATACAACCCTTTCCCCATCCTGGTCTTGCCTACACTCAAGAGGGTCAGCGTCAATGAGTGAGTGAGCAGATGGAATGTATTTAGGACAAGAGCAGAGAAGCATTCACATAGTGATTCTCAAGTTTGTGTCAGAGAATAAGAATTGTCAGAATAATTTCCCCCAAATCCATCAGTTACCTGAAATCACCAAAAAAACAGAAAAGCTTGAAACACTGTAACAACTATGGTGCAACCTCAACTTGTTTTGTTGTCAAGAAGGAGAAAAAAAATCCTATAACTAAGACAATACAATTTTTGTTTCAAACGTCAGCAGAAAGTGCTCATTTTTGCTGCTCAGTTTCCCAAATGCACTCTGAAAATAAAAAGCACTCAGAGCAGCAGCAATAAAAACTTACAAAGATTGGATTAGTTTTCATTCTACAGAAAACTTGTAAAAGAGAAGACATTTATGAAATAGTGGAGCTCTCTAGCTAAATTAGTTTCAGGATTTGGAGACTCACTTTTGCCACTGTAGGTACTAGAAGGATAATCTGCCTTAAGTTAAAAAAAAAAGGAAGACCTGGATCCTGCAGAAACTGAAGGGCCCGTCTGGAAAAGCTTCCTATTCATGATCAGTTAATTAGAGGATTTTGTAAACCTTGGAAAGACTAAACGCATGGACTGGGAAGTATATGCATTTTTATGACAAATTCAGCTTTGCCACCATATATACATACGACATATATAAATACAACTTTTCTTGGATCTCATTTGAGCAAACTCCTCTTACATTGCACTGGTGTCTTGATCACAATGAACATACTACAAATTAAAAAACACGATTGCCCATAAAAACTACAGCAATCGTAATATCCTAAAGAATACTATTATATTACTTATATGAATTTTATTGTAGAAGTTTTCTTACAACATGCCATGTTGTTCTAAACACTCCCAACATTTCCCCAATCCCCTAAACACATGCAAGTTATTAAGCCCACAGTGTTATGCTATAACACAGCTTGAGAGCATCACAAAGAGTAATAGTTTTCACCAAACTTGTGATTGAGTCTGACTACTAAAAAAATATTTATATTTAATTGCTGAAAGTACTCCTGCTACTGTGAAGATACTGGCAAGAAAATTCACAAGTACCTGTTACATAAGGATCCTACATAGAAACTGCAAGGATCATCTCAGTGATCTATCTTGCTCTGTGTCCTGCTTTGAGTTTGTACCAAACATCAAACAGGAATGGGAAATACGCTCTATAGTGTTATGAATCAACTCAGCTCCATCTGAAGTTCCAACTTCACCTTCATTTTGTGGCCTTCTTATGCTATAGAGTAGGAAAGTGTGGTTAGTATGGATATTTTACATGTAAATTCATCTATCTAATGTAAAGACGCTGGCATTTGCTGTCAGCACTTTTTCAACAGTTTTGACTTGGAAAAATATATCACTAATAAATATAAAAAAGATTAATGATGTTTAGAGCAGCTTTATAGTAAGATAATAAATAATTTTAATTCAGCACTGCAAAAAATGACTAGCGGCATTTTAAAATACCCAAACTATAAGAACTTGAAATAGCAAAAAATGGTATCTAATTAAGTCAGTAATTACAGTAAATCTGAAGATAGGTTCCTCTTTTAAGATAATAGCTAAGATGCCAGGTGGAGACTGTCAGTGCTTTACTAAATCTAAAAGATTTGATGACTGGTCCTTAATGGAGCAGATGGCCTTGGATGCACAGGCGGAGCCAGAAAGGGATTTTGTTCTTTCATCTGTTCAACCCATTTTCATTCTGTTTTTGACTGCACGGGCAATCTCACCCTGCAGTACATCCCTGTACTCCAAGTGACCACTGATTCCAGACAGGCTGCTCCAAAAGCAAACTGAAGGCAGTGACCATCTCGGCAACCCTATGGAAAACACAAGAAGCCATTTTATCTCTTAGTCTTTGGGGGTTTTTTTGTCTTTGTCTGTCTTCTTCTAAATGAATATTTACAGTGTGTTCTTATTCCAAATAATGTAGAAAAGGTAAAAAAATTTAATTCTTGCCTCTGATGACTGAAATGACAGACAATAAAAGCTGGGTGAGATTCACTACTAGTATTATCTTTCCACTTTCTTTACCTTTTCAAGCAACACTTATTGGTTAGTGTAACTCTGAAAAGACAGAACCATTTTGAGGGATTTTACAATTTTATATTCATGGATAGGACAATTCCAGTCCCAAGGACTGGAAGTGGAACAATTCTGGATCTGTATTTAACAATGGAGTACTACTGACATGTGACTGACAAAAATAACGAGGAGGAAGGAAAAAAAAAAAAAAAAAATTAGTTTAAATTCCAGTTATGAAGGCCTATAGAAAAGCCCTTATGACTAAAACAGAAATAAATTCCTAAACAGATGTCAGCTAAGATGGTCACAGAATCACCAAACGGTTGAGGCTGGAAGCGGCCTCTGGAAACCGTCTGGTCCAGTCCCCCGCTCAAGCAGGGCCACCCAGAGCAGGCTGCCCAGGATTGAATGAAACAGAGCAACAACTAAGGGGGCTTACAAAGATGTCTTTGTGTATTTATACACAAAAATTCTGCCCTACTTTCCAATATCCAAGCTGAATAATATTTACCTATTTCTATATATCCATGCATACACACACACACAAGTAAGTAAACATAAAATAAAAAGTTCTGCCTCACTACTCTGCAGTGATTCTGCAAAACCAAAGAAGTACACGCTCCATGACGGAAAAGGCTCAGGAGAAAAAGGGTAATGTGATAATTAATCTGCAAATATTTGATGGATAGCTTATTCCAAATGAAAACAAGATATGCATACTACAGGTAAAAAGAAGCTTAAAGACAAAATCTGTAAAGTTACAATGTAGATCAACTACCAGAGGAAACTGCCTTACAACAAATTATTGAATGAAAGAATAGTCTCTAGAGAACAAAAAATAATCCATTACTTCTGACTATTAAAAACAGCCCTGGGAAAATCTAGAAAACGGTTTGCAGAAAATAGCTGTCACGTTCACCAGCAGATGGATTTAAGTGTTGTGTTTCCCATCCTGACTCCTGTTCTAACCCCGGGAAAGCCTGTGATTTAGTTTTCGTGCATTTGTGCCAGCAAAACCAGACATGGTTGTCAGTTTAAAAGTATGCCAAATGGATTTTGCATTTAATATAAAAATTTGAATTCTGAAATTAATGAGACTAACAGCAAGCTTAACACTTAAATCAGATTCTTTACACTAACAAGACATACTTTCTTTCTCTTGTCACCAGAGATCCCCTTCACGACGCAGGGGCTCTGGAAGCGGTGGCGACAGCAGCAAGGTGCGCCGCCATGGGAGCAGGCAACCTGAGGCAGCCCTTGGGCCAGGACTGGAGAGGCAGAGAGCCAAGGAGGGCTGAGCGCCTACTGCAGTGAGGGAGATGGGCAGCAAAAATCAACAGGGTAGCGGGTCAGTTTGAGAAGAAATGATGAGCAGTGAGTGAGGAGGGATTAGAATCCAGTTTAAGAGATGATGAAACAGTGGAGAAAGAGGGGAATAACAGTATTGCAAAAGAAACTGAACAGACAAGTCTAGTGAGGCCCAGATATACAAGTCAAATCAGCAAGGAGGGGAAAAACTGAGAGTGCAGAAAAGAAAGGAGGGAACTAAAGATGACCAGACAGACAGAGAAGGAAAAAAAAAGGCAGGAGTGGCATGGATATTTGAGAAAATACGGAGAGAGGCCAGGGGATGCAGCAGGTCTTCCTGTTTACAAAAAGGTAAACTGAACAAGCAATGCCTGAGGAGGACTGGATTAAAAATACAAGTCAGGTATGAAGGAGAATGAGGAGGACTGGATGTGATTTGCATACAAAAAAGTTAGTCTGTGAGGTTAACAAAAGTACATGCAAGTAAATATAGATGTTACTTAGAAAACATTAGTATTCAGAAAATAATCTTGTTTTTAGAGAAGTTAAAAAAGTCACCATCTTCAATTTTATGAAGGCATTTTAAATTGAGCTTTCAAGAAGTACCAGGCAATCACACCACAATAAGGACTACAAAATCACTCTCTCCCCAAAACAAGAAAATACTTATATGTACAGTAAACTAACTTTTCTTCCATGAATAATTCAAGTTCAATAGTACTGTCCATTTAAGTACAAGTGCTCAGCATATCATCAATACTATTCTTTTACTAAACCATAAAATTCACTAAACCCAAGAAAAATGTACTGAAAGTACTTCATTCAATTACTTTATCTGTCTCTGACACAGTTCATTTTTCTCTTGAAAATACTAAATACAGCTCTTACAGGGATAATAATTCTCTTTGGCCAGTAATTCAGAAAACCTGTAGTTACTTTGGCACAGAGCACTTAACGAAATCTGATTTTAACTTTCTGAGAAAAAGAGTCCCCCAAACCTTTCCAGGATCTTTGCTTGCAAAATCCAAGACCTTCATCTGCACGTTTTTCATCATTTAATTGGCTTTGGAAAGAAGTAAAGCCTGAAACATTTGCATGACTTCTGCTGGATCTTGTCCCATCCAAGGGCCTAATTATGAACAGGGACGTGAGCAATTGCTGAAATGAGTAAGCTGGAGTTAAAGAGTCTATTGATCTGACTGATATTACCCACATAAATGTAAAGGTAGGTGTAGAACACTTACTGCAGATTTTGTAAGTAAAGTGTCAATATATTTCTGCTAATAAGGCAAGGTGTCTTTCCTCTCCAGCTAAAGCAGGGATTATTCTCAGAAGCAGGCCATGTCTGAAATGAAACACGCCCCACTGAAACGCTGTTCCTCCATTTTCGAATGCAACCAACTTTAACAAATTACTTTCATACTCCTCATGCTTCCTGAGCTCATCCTCCAGTTTCAGACAGACCTAACAATTCTGCTCTTCACATTTAAAGCTTGATCAGTTGGAGAGAGATTCTGCTTTCAGGAGCCACAGTTCTTCCCAAGCACATACCCAAGCACCAGGAACAGAGACTTTCAACCCTTGGCTCATTACAAGGGCTAAGCTCCCCTTAAAGAAAGGTCCTTGGCTAACAGGACTTACAGCATCAACAGCTCTGCAAGAGTCAGAAAACCGCTGTGTGTACATCAGCGAGTTAATTGACCTCACTTTAAAAGCCTTTCTACAAAAGTAGATTTGATACTTTTCTAGCAATTTTAATCAAATAGGATACTTCTAGCCACCAATTAGCAGACAACTGTCTCTTTAGGTCTTGACCTTCCATACACTTGAGATTTATACGATGCACAGATATTACAGTTATTAAAAATGCTAAAAGGGCATATATAATGTGCCTGTAACAAAGTCTTCCATGGAACAGACCCCCTCCCCTCCCCCACCCCATTTCTGGCTGTAATCTAACACAAGCAGCTGAGCTAGATATTTTTTTTATATGCTATGGCTGATTATTTATACCTTACTGTTCAGAAGTACCTTTCCAAGGCTCAGGTTTTTAGTCAATTCTGTTCATTATACAGGAGGTCAAATGGCAGACCATAAAGTGATTTCAAGCCACCTCTCTCATCAAATGAAGTATCATTAAACAAGCTTTCAGTACATCTTCAGAGTGAGGAAAGGAAGAGAAGGAAAAGAAGATTATGAGGAGTAGTCAGCATGGATTCACCAAGGGGAAATCATGCTTGACAAATCTGACAGCCTTCTATGATGGCATGACTGGCTGGATGGACGAGGGGAAAGCAGTGGATGTTGTCTACCCTGACTTCAGCAAGGCTTTTGACAATCTCTCCCACCACATCCTCATAGGGAACATTAGGGAGTGTGGGACAGATGAGTGGACAGTGAGGTGGATTGAGAACTGGCTGAGGGACAGAGCTCAGAGCGTTGTGATCAGTGCTGTGAATCAGCCAGAGGCCTGTGGCTAGTGGTGCTCCCCAGGGGTCAGTACTGGGGCCAGTCTTACTCAACATACTCATCAATGAGCTGGATGAAGGGACAGAGCGCACCCTCAGCAAGTTTGCTGATGACACAAAACTGGGGGGAGTGGCTGACACACCAGAAGGCTGTGCTGCCATTCACAGAGGGACAGGCTGGAGAGCTGGGCGGAGAGGAACCTAATGAGGTTCAACAAGGGCAAGTGTAGGGTCCTGCACCTGGGAGGGAATAACCCCACGCACCAGTACAGGTTGGGGGTTGGCCTGCTGGAGAGCAGCTCTGCAGAGAAGAACCTGGGAGTCCTGGTGGACAGCAAGTTAACCATGAGCCAGCCACGTGCCCTGGTGGACAAGAAGGCCAACGGTATCCTGGGGTTGGATTAAGAAGAGTGTGGCCAGCAGGTTGA